GAATTTAGTTTTTGCTTCAAATTCGACCTTTGCTTTGAAGATAAAGGTTCTTGAGGATCAAATGAGATTTCATGAGATATTTTATCATCATCTATTTTATTAGAAATTTCTTTTTTCTTTTTTTTTTTTTTTTTTTTTTTTTTTACATACATCCGTTGGCAGAACAGGCTAAAAAAATATCTTCATTTACATCTTCATCTGCCAAACGTCTACTTTCTTCTGGAGGCATTTTACAAATATCAGTATATTCTTCATCATCTGATAATGTATAAAAATATTCTAATGTATCTTCAACAGTCGTCACCATCGAGATAGATAAGGCCTGCGCGCTGAGTTACTACGTCACTGCTAGGGGACCGGTCTTCGCGCAGTTTAGCTTCCTTGCTAAACACCCGTTTTTCTAAACCTATTCTATGAAATTGGTATCTCATACTATAAAATCAGTCTAAAACAAAATTACAAGCGGCAATATAATGTTTTACAAAGCTTATACGAATATGAAATATTTTCATTTTCTTTGTTGGTATTTATTTTCAAAACAAAATTATTTGAGAATGGTGTGGTGCTTTTAAAAGCAAATCATTTCTTTGAAGAAAAATTGGTTTTAAAATTCAAGTAGCTGAAATTTTTACTTTGATTTTTCTGCACTGTCTTTGTGTTTCTCGTTGATTCTCATCACCGCATCAAATTTTTTTGTTTCACCCACTACTTTAACAAAATGTTTGCCAGTGGGAACACATGTTATCTCTCATTCTATAATTATTGCATATTTATTATGTTTATCATATTAATGTAGCAGGATTATAAAACATCAAACGAATGCAAGAGACTACTTTTAATATTTAGACTAACATTTAAATGCCTTGTATCAGTCAGAAAATTTTTCTGAATGTAATAAATTGCTAAATAGTCTAGTCTTAAAATTATTTCTTACTTACATATTGTATGTTAATCTGTATTACAGTTAATATTTTCCTCTTAATGCTACATAATTATTCGACAGAATCTGTAGTTAAATCGAGGTAATGTTTATTACATAGCTGTGAAGACTATCAATATTAAAATTCCAAATAAGTCAGGAAAAAAGTTTTTCAAATAAAGTTATACACAATGTTTTTGAAAATATTTTAAAAATATACGAAATACTTAAAAAACTTCTAGAAACTGAAATTTTGTGCAAATATTTGCATCATACCTATTTAACTATAAGCGTTACCTCTGTTCTGAAAATATTTTTTCTATTAATATCTACATGAAAAGAAAATATAAATCCTAACATCATGTTCAAATCTTTTCTGTAAGCAATTTTCTTAACTTCTTAACTTACATAGCTTTTGGTGGTGCCACGTACTCAAATTAAGATTGTAATTTAAAAGATAATTAAAAAAATTGTTTTTAAAATTGCATTGAATTGAATACAATGAAAACAAGTATGTCTACATATGAATTCAATTACTACTGCTTCTTCAATAACTGTACATTTTAAAATTTAATTTTGCAGTTTCGCAATTTAATTACCTTAATATGAATCTTACATACATTACTTTAGAAACTTTTCTATCATTCTCAGAAAGATTTATATTGCATAACAAATTTTAAAAAACTGATTGCATGATAATAACATATATAAAAGTGAACAGAATCTATATTAGCTAAACATATGCATTTAAGTTTCATCATGATAAAATGATATATAAAGATTTGCAAAAAAACATTGATATTTAAATTTAAGAACACAGTACTCTGTCAAGAATCAAATTTACTCTGCATTTGATATTCTACATATTATGTAATGATATAAGTGTTATGCTTTTAACCCCTTAGGACAGTTATTTCATATAAAATTAGTTTCCAATTAAAATAAATAATCATAAATTTTGCTGACAATTTTTATATTACTAGTGTTAGTAATTATTACAAGAGATGATGCTTCAGATGTCAAAAGTAAACATAAATTCAATTCTTAAAACATAATGGATAAAAAATTACAACTTATAAAAGCCAACAGAAAGCTTGCTGAGGGTCTCTTAACCGTGACGTCACAAGCCAGTTTCGTTTCAGAGCACAGGCCTTATCTATCTCGATGGTGACGCAACAGTCTGAAGTGGTTTTGAATAAGACATCAGCATAACATATGTTCACAAACTAATGAAAAATGCTAATGACTAGAAAATAGTGGAGATCTCTAATCATGTGATTCCAATCCACACTGTAATACATATATGCCTTTATAACTGAGTCATAAACAACCTCTAGCCTATCAGGAAACATCACGTGCTTTTCTCTAGCAACTGTGAGTGACCCACTTCAAATCCTTATGGGAATGTGTGAAGGGAGAGGATGATGGTGAAACACGTGAATTAAAAACAGTCATAAACATTTTTTCTCGATACTTCCTGAAAATTTTAACATATGAAAATCTTTCTCCATGCTTCTGTTCTCTGTAATCAAGGTAACTGTATCAAGTTGAAACATACCTTTACATGCTAATGATCCCTTTCTGAAACATCTACATTTCTTAGCTCATAGTAAAAAATAATTATCTTCTTTCTATGAAAACTTACTGTCTATCCATAAAAAGGATCCTTTTTAACCCTCTTGACTGCTCAATTTAAGGACCGAAATCGCTTCCAAAATTGCTTTTTTCCTCCCATATTTTAAATCTATGCATATTGGAGAATTGAAAAATGTACTTTTTCTCTCTAGAAAATATTTTTTATATAGATTTTTATCATGAGAAACTAAGTTGTCAGAAAAACCAAGTTCAGATATTACCATCAAAAAATCTTTTTTTTTTAAAATCAATTTCAGTCAAATTACAGTTAATTTCTATTTATTGCATAATACAAAAAAGTAAAATGTATAAAATTTAAGAAAATATAAAGCGCTGAGAGAAAAATACCTTAGAAATGCTGTTTAGTATGATAGAGTTCAAAACAGGGTTCAAGGCAAAGTCCAACTGCACAGTCTTTGCACTAGATTCAATAAATCTAATTAATAATTAAATAATTTAATTAAATAATCAAGATAATCGCTGAACATATTCTAGCAGCCATTTCTGTAAGAAAAAAAGCGGCAAAAAGTGAAGTTTGAGCGCTTATATCACGTGCCTTCAAATGCTGCAATTTAGTGGCCTGCTAACGATATCTGTTGGCCAAAACGTAAACGCCTAATACTGTATATAATTTATTTCAATGACTAAATGGGGGAAAACAGGATGCGCTCCTCAATAAAGGAAGAAAAACATATACCTGCAGAAATCGCGGGATGAGCAAATTTTGTTACATTTCAGTTACCCGTGGAAATCGCAAGATGATCAGCCAGAGGGTTAATTACTCTCATTGATTTCCAAAAACATTTGTCAAATTTTTAATTTTATATGAATTTTTGAATTTTGCTGGGAGAGAAGTAAGAAAAAATCTGATGTGTACACCACATTACTTCCTTGTATGGAATATTAAATTATATGCATTTTTCTTGCATTTCATTTAAACTTATTGGATTGAATTAAATCTATTTCATCGATAGCGCATAAACCACAATAGAATAAATGCACTCTTTAAAATTCGCTATATTTTTTTACCATAGCAACATTGTGGCACTAGGTTCACTTAATAGCGCTATATTTCATTCATATTATAACTCAGAATGCACAAAATTTGTCATTTGAAGAATTATTTAATTGTTGCCACATGTTCTATTTAAATACTATAATAAATCCAGAACAATGTGTAAAAGAAATTAAGCAAAGAAAACAAAAGTTTTTCACAGACAATTCGGTATTTCTCATTCAATTTCTTCAGTTCTCAACTTCGCAACAAGGCAAAAATACATAAAAACTCAAATATCTATATTAAAAATTACGAAATAAATCTTAAACGCTTATGTCCTCGAAAATATTCTAGAAAAGATTAAGTATGATTTAATTCGCAATAATAAATGGAGGTGTTATCTTTGTTGTTGAGAAGCTCAGTCTCTCTAGATTGGCAACAAATCTAATATTCTGCTGTTTCAAATGTAAACAAACATGTCCGCCATGTTATTTAAAAATTAGGCTTAGCCACAACTAAACAGCTTTTAAATTGTCGATAATTGTACAAATATTGCTTGCTGATTTACTAAAGGCATAAAAATCTTAATCGGAAGATAAGAACTACATAATTAAATCATTTTTAAAGCAAAAAATGCACAGTTTACAAACATAAAGAAACTGAGATCACTGAACCATGTAACAGAGTGGATATATATATATATATTTATAAATGTTTGGTGCAGCCCAATGCAACCAAAATACAAGGTGCACATCTACATGTTATAGCAGTCCTATATACAAAATTTCAATGTTCTTAGGATACTCGTTTTTGAGTTTTGCGAGATACATATGTACATAAGTACGGATGCTATGAAAAATTCTCTTCAAAATTCATTTTAAAGCAGTTTTATAATTTTTTGGAGGAAAAGAGTCTTTCCTTACGTACAGATGTCATGCAAAAACATTGTTAAATTGCATTCGATAGCGCCCAGAATGTATATTTTCGTTGAAATATGCTGCCTGAAACTTTTCGCGATTACAATACTTCCTTTTTACTTTGTACAAGGAAGTAAAAAGGTGAAATAACAATTTTTTTAAAGTCAAGATACTATTTATTTTAGCAACATTATATTGCTGCTAAAAATCAATCCATATTTTTCATATCCATCAGCATCCTTCATGTAATAATTTTTACAAAGCAATATGAATAAAATTGTATTTTTTATAAAATTTTAAAATTGATGTTCCATTTATAGAACACTGGCGTGTAAAAAGTCGAAGATAATTTCAATTTATTGATAATGTATTTCTGTTCCCCATAATGCAGATATTCTTTTAAGGAATATATTTATAAATTTGTTGTACTAGAGAATTTAAATAATTCGTAAGAGACCGTTAGCACAGTATTCAGCAGAACTACATGTGTGAATCTATGAGAAATAAAATTTTGATTTGAATTTTTTTTTAGCCTGCTATACATCATCCTGCAGCACGTCCGATACTGAAAGATATCTACTTTGTTCGAAAATTATCTGCTATGCAACAATCATTTCACATATGCCACAATTTTGCTGCATCATTGCAAATCAACCCAAGGGCTGGAATCATGGAAAGGGAGGTTCATTTAGTGACTGATCACCAGCTTGTTAAACCTGTCAAGCAGTTCACTGCTGATTATGTGCGTCATATGGTAGGCTGTTATTTAATAATTAAACTTAATATATTATTCAAATGATGATTTTTTTTTTCAAGTTTCCCTGAGCATGCAATAAAATGTTTTTTAATTAGGTTCTAGGTTTACCTTCTCAAGCTGTTGGTTTTGCCTTATGCCAGTTGGTTACACATCTGGGTTATGATCTTACAGCTGAAATAGAACTGCGGGACATAGGAGTAGAAAGTAAAGTGCCGATAGAAGAAATATTATTAAAAGCTTATAAATCTTGCATTGCAGAACATTTCTTAGAAGCTCAGTTACCATCTTTAAGCACTCTGTTAAGTGCTTTTGATGCTGCATGGCGTAAAGAAGACCTGGGAAGGTATGTGAAACCAATATCTTGAAATTGTTTAATATATGAAGTGGCTGTATTTAATATATATAAATGTATATTACATAATATATTTTAACTTTGTGTAAAACAAGCCTCGTAATTAGTGAACCATCGTAATTAGTGAACGTCTTAAAATTATTCAGGAAGCCTAATTGTTACTTTTAAAGTACTAATAATCAGTCTACTGGAAAGTGCTGTCCGTTTTTGGAGTAAAAATACAAATTTTCCTTACTATCAATAAACTGAATTAAATTATATAATTGCCATTGCTATTAATGACTTCTTGCCAGCGAGGGGGCAATTTATATATCCTATTTTTGATAAAGTGCTGTATCTTTTGATGCAAAAAATTGAATCGGTGCTTGTTTGATGTCTTTTTCAGTTTTGAATTTTTTTGCCCTTCAAAAAATTTTATAAGGACAAAAACAAGTGATAAGCCGAGAAGTCCAGGGAAAATGGTGGATGTGACAGAACTCCCCAGCCTAGTTCTGCAATTTTTTGACAAGTCCCCAAAGCATGTGGCCTGGTATTATGATGCAGTATGATGTCCTTCCTATTGAACATTGCCAGCCTCTTTTCTTGGACTGCTGTCTTTAAATTATCTAGTTGCTGACAATACTTTTCGAATTGAGCTTTTCATTCGGTTTTAAAAGCTCATAATATGTTGGTCCACGAATGTCTCACCATATAGACAACATTCTCTTATTGAGAGTCAGATTTGTTTTAGAGGCAGAAGGGGTTTTCCAGGTTCCCTTTTCTTTACGATGTTTTCATAGATAATGCACTTTTCACATACTTTTATCATTCGATTCAAGAAGGGTAGATGTTGTTCCAAGCAAGCAGACATGTGCATATGACGACTCGATCATCCAAATTCTTCTTACTTAATTCATGTAGCACCCATCCTGAATATTTCCACACCAATGCTATTTTCCGAATATGGTCCGAAATGGTTTGCTGGACTGAATTAAGCCTTTCTGTGATCTCTGATGTTGTCAGAGAAGGATTTTGCTCCAGCATGGTCTTAATAACCTGTTCATTCAAAGATGGTTGCCCAGAACATGGCTTATCAGAAAGGTTGAAATCGCCTGTTTCAAATTTTTCGAACCATCTTCTGAATGTCCTATTAGAAACTGTACCTTCACCAAGCACTTTCAATAAATTTCTACATGCTTCTGTAGCATTTCCTCCTTGTTGAAATTCTTATAAAATACAGTGGCGTAAATAAACTTTATCAGTAGCTGTGAGTGCACTATCTCTTCACGCTTACAATTAACAGGAATCAATTTTATTTTAGTTAATTTGTACGTCAGTATGTATACATTAAGCGATAAAAATAGACAGCCGAACATGCGCCAAATAAACATGTTCTTACGTGTGAAAAATTGTTGTCACAGAAACGGACAGAACTTTCAGGTAGACTGAATAATATTCATTCAGATTTGCTGACAGAATATTCCGTTTAGTCCTTGTCTACTAGTTCAAATCATTTTTGAATTTTACTATCCGTTTACCTGTAGAAACAGAATTTCAAGGGGTTTTTTGGGGGGGGTTGCATCTTGTTAATTTGTCAATATGTAGAAAAGCTTAATTATTCATTTGAAGTATTAAAAATAAAAGTGGAAAAAATGTTTTATGTTATATGCATGCTTTTTGGTGTAACATCTGCCCTAGTATTTGAATTACTTGTTATAAAATAATATCTAGTAAACTATATTGGGAACTAATACTTAAAAAACTTTTTAATATATATAGACGCTTAGAGCAATATTTAGTTGTTGCAAGAGGCTGCCAACAAAGAGCTCAACTTCAGCTTACCCAATTTCAGTGGTTAAATGAAGATCTTTTACTTCAGGCAAATATTGGACCGCTTCAGGGTTCATCTGTAACATCTAGACCCACACTGATGTCTGAAATACGAAAGGTAAATTTTATGTAGAAGAAAGATTTAATTAATTTGTATTTAATAATCCTCTCTTCTGTGTAATGTTATGAAGAATTTTGTTTCATAAAATTAAGGTCAGAAGTATGTAAAAAATAGTTAATATGTACTCCATTCATATTGTTTTTCTAATGATAATTCTATAGTAATGATACATCTTGCAGTGTAGCATGAAAAATACAACAAAATAATTATTACAGTCAAAAGTCATTAATCCGGACTCGTCGGGACTTCGGCGATTCCGGATTATTGATTTTTCCGGATTATAGATCATCAGTTTAAATCTGACAAGATGTCATGCAGAAATTATAAAATTAAAAATATGAAACCGTAATTTAGGAAATAAAAGAACAATTAGGATCTAAAGTGTATCAAAATTTACAGAAAAAAGCTTAATATTTATTTGTTTACTTTATTAAGCATTTCTTTCAATGTAAGTTGTTTAAGTTGCTTCGTTTTATGTGATAATGCTTTCTCTTTAATTCTATAAACAGACATAATTTCTTCTTCAGTTACAAAGTACCGCTGTTTAAGTCCTATAATTGCTGTGTCGAGAATACTGACTAATTTGTCAATCGAAATGTTTTCGTTTTCAATAACCTCTGTGTCACTTTCTTCACTATCGGAAGCGAATTATAATGACGAGGAATATGATGTAAATCATATCAAATATGGAGTTCATCAAGATGAAATACTACGTTTAGTAAGGAATTATAAGCCAAATAAAATAAAAACATCTGCCCTGAAGATACGGATAGTGCTGACAGATCAACTTCCAATTCATCGCGTTCCGCGGCGTCCTCCCCCCAGAGCAGCGTGAAATTGATAAACAGATTTCGGAATGGTTAGAGAAATGAAGGATATGCATTTATCCATTTTTTTGTAGCAATTCCACTTTTTGTTTGATGGACATTGAAACATACTTTCGCTTTATAGATCCTTTGGGAGCTCCAGCATCAGAATTTCTATTTGACATAATCGAAAGTTCAAGCTTACTTTTATAAAATTGCTCTAACAGTCTGCAAAAAATAATAAGCCAGATCCATTTTGAAGATTAAGGAACAATGCAATCTGCAACATTAACTGAAATAGATAATTAGATAATTTTAGCTTATACCGTCCGTTATACATTAAACGCACATGCGTAAACGTATTGTGCGCATGCGCACATGCATATTCTCAGCCGTAAAGGTCTGCGCAGAAAGTTTGTAGTTTTGAGGTCCGTATTATAGATCATTCTGGATTATGGGTGTCCGAATTAACGACTTTTAACTGTATTTGCTTTAATTATGAATACCTTTCTGCTGAGAATTTGTTAGCCATTAAATTTTCGGAAAAGTCTGCTTTATTAGCCCCATATTGAAATCTTGATGTACACTGTGTATTAAATACTGAGACCACATTCAACAAAGTTTTGTAAATCTATATTCTGTGTATACTTGAATTAGAGATGGTGCAAAATTTATTTTCTAAAAATATTCACTACTGAGTGACCTCGTTTCTGCTTAGCATTTCAAATAGCCGCCTATGAATTAAAAAAAGCATATAGTGTGTGTTATTACAATGGAATTTTAACAGAAATGTTAATATTTCATTGAATGGATAGCAGCTTTCTTGGATTCTCAGTTTTAATATAATTTGCTCTAGTGTAAAGTACATTTTCAATGTTCATAATTGCCAAATGCTGTACATATTTTTTGTGGATATTATTGTATTTCTACTAATGATTTTCTATTAGATATTTAAATTTCTATAGTCAATTTTTGTAATTGGAAATGTTATTTAATTTTTTGTTTCACAGACTGTTAGTGCTCTGGTGACATATGATTGTGTCGTCTCTTCTGCTCAAGATCGTTATCTTGCACTTACTGCTGGGATTGAGCAAAGACTCAAATGGGCTGCAGGAGCTAATCCTTCTTTAACTGCAGTACAAGAAGAATTTGAAGTTGCTATTTCTGCTAAAACTGCAATTATAACTGTAAGTATACTTAGTGATTAAGATCTGTACAGTGAATGTTTCATTGCATTAATTTCTTTCTATAAAAATACTCCTTGGATTATTAACTATTTTCAGTCTACCAACAATTTTGAATGTTTTTGTACTTTTAGTTTTTATCTGAAATGTTTTGTAGGCTCTTGAAATTTTAAAAAAGAGTAGTTTAGTCAGTCACTCTTTCCATTTTTGCAGTTGTTTAATAGCATTGTACATACCAGTGTGGCAGAATGTTTCATTCTTAAGATCGACATGGTGCAAATTGACTGTTGAGGTCAGTCATTAAACAGTTGAGGTCTTGAATACATTAATTATTTTAAGTGTTAAAAATTTAGTGCAATTTCTAGCACCTTTAAGTAACCGGAGACATGGGAAACCTCGCATGCACAAACTCAATGGTTTGTTACAGTGATATGCAGCATCATCATAGCATAGAATCAACATAGATAAAGGTGGACGACCAACAATAGTAATCGTCATACAGTCAACCCGGATACGGGCGGCCAACCAGCAATATTTACTGGCCTAACAAGTATCAATGTATGTTAGTAACTTGCAAAGAGTTCCTACAGTTATACAATTTTGTAGCATTACACATGGTGTCACTCGAATGCAATGTTGATGATCATCAACCATGTCAGTTCCCATTGACCATACTCCTGCCAGCCCGATATACAACATATTTCTCCTAACTTTCTCTTATTTTTAAAATTTCTCATTATTTTTATGTAGCTTGGCTTAATGCTTTATTATATGCACTCAGAAATATGATTTCTGGCATCAGAAAGTGTTTAGTTGTTCTCTAGATCACTTTTAAAATATAAAGATTAATATTAAAAAGTCATTTCATCATTAAGATAAGGTGTGCTTTGCTTTGTGTGTTTGAGTCCAAAAACATATTCGAAAACGTCATGTTCCAGTTCTCTAATGAGCAACAAGTGCCATTGTGGGTTATCTGGCATATATTAGCCAATAAGCACAAAGCAAGATGAAGGTTGTTATTTCGTTCATCTCACTTCCAAGAAACAGTTTAAGAAATTGTGATCATTTGTCTTAGTTTTGGTTGAAAAAGAGGTGAAATATGCATATGCTTTTCAAAACAGAATGCAGATGTTTCTTCTTCTTTTATCAAAGAAATGTCATGCATTTGCATTGTATATCATTTGTCTTTGTGTTTTTCGATTTTGCATTGTGTAAGGGCCAGTGTTTATAAATGTGTGTAAGCAGATAGATAACCTTAGTGTGCTTTGCTGTAATCTCAATAAACCAAACTAAACATGTGCATACACAAGGACAATGTGAGTCATATTGGGAGAAAAAATTAAATTTTTCTGTGGAAACAAAGGACCAAAACGTTATTAATGCAAAATACCTGTTCTCTGCCATTTTACTGGAGCAGTCTGGCACTGGACTCTTTGGATCATGCCACAGCTTTATTTAGAAATGTGTTTCTCAACAAAGAAATTGCTAAGAAAAAACTAAGTGCAAAAGCAAAAATGGTTGCAATAATTGTAGAAGAAATGGGTAGGAAAATAAATTTTCAGTTCATTAATTGCATTAAAACAGTTCCATTCTGTCTTTATATCGATGGAAGTAATATTGTTCCAAAACTATTTCCACTTTTTTTTTTTTTTTTTTTTTTTTTTAAATCCAGAGGCTTTAGAAATTGAGTGTAGTTTACTTTCTGTCTTGTCTTTAGAAGGCCATTCTACAGTGTTCAATATAGCACGGCTATTATTAAAACTTTTATCTTCTGGATTATTGCATAGCATTTAGTGCCGACGGGGCAACAGGAATGGTTGGTTTGAAAACTGGTGTAGCAGGCAACTTAAAGAAGAAAATTCAAATTTGCAAATTATAAATTGCACCTGTCACCCCTTAAATTCAGCAGTTGAAAAGGGGCAGCTTTTTTTTTACCCAAATGTGTGGATGCATTGTTGATATTTATTATTAGCCTGAAAAGAGTTTTGAAAGGAAGGAAAATTGAAACAATTCCAACAGCTGCATAATACTGAAATAAGGAAAAGTTTGAAACATGCTTGTTATCTTTAGAGAAATATTTATGTAGAATCCTTGACCAATGGAACCCACGTCTTTCATTTTTTAAGGAAGAAGTAAATGCTTCTAGAATTGATAGAAAAGGCTTTATTGAAAGTTATAAAATACCTAAAGTAAATGTAAGATATGGTTACTAATTCCACTGTTAAAAATAAGTCAGAAAAATTTAATAATTTCTGCATCTGGGAGCAATTGAATTGAGAATTCTCAACATAATACTACAAAATATTTATTTTATTTATCAAATGCCAGCCTGTTGGCCACTAGGTTATTAGGCTGAATACTACAATATATAAGCTTAAAGACATCCCAAATTAAAATTAAAAAAAAAAAAAAAGTAAATAAAATTGCTCAACCAAGAATGCATTTTTTGATTGTTTTAAGTTTACCTTGTGAAGTACAAATATTTATGATTTTGTTTTCCAGACCCACCCCCCATTTTTACCCTAACAGTAGCATTTAATATGCATAATTCACAAAAAAAAAAAAAAAAAAAAAAAAAAGAAAGAAAGAAAACAATCAGCACAAACACACAAGGAGAAACAACTAACCAAAAACATACAAAAAGAAAGTAGAAACATCAAACAGTGAACCATAAACAAACATATCGATAACAAAAGTCGATCTGTCTGTAAGGCTTGAAACTGTTTTCTAGCCTTCCAATATCTGTTGAGACAACTGGGCATATTCTGAGATGCTCAGCATATGGTCACTACTGCATAAGATACAGTTTGGAGTGGACACTATTCCGAATCTGTGTAGGTAACCAGCAAGGCAGTCATAGTCTGTTTCTAGCCTAAAAGCAGAAACAGCATGCCATCTTAGAAAATTTGGAATTCCTTCAAGAGTCTCTTTCCAGGTTTTTTCAATAATAAGCTCAGATAATTTTGTCTGGTAGTTCTTATTTAAAGAATTTTTTATTATTCTATTTGTTGAAGAATATGGGATCTCTTTTCTGTGGATTGCAGAATACCTGTGCCTTTCTTTGCAAGAAGATCAATCATCTCAATTCTGTATATTCTGTCTTCTTCAACTTCACTGTCAAATGATGTGGTATTTGGGCCTAAAGTTTTACAAAGTGCAAACATTTCTAAAAATATTCCTTTTACTTAATAAAGCTTTTTGCTTTTTTGTAAACTCCATTTTTGCTATCGGTTAATGTTCTTAACACAATTCTACAGTGCAGAACTCCATTAATTATTTTGCAATTAATGATTTGTGATCCGGTTAAAGTATTATTTAATGATAATTGAAACTGATTATTTTTCTATTAAAAGGTACAAATAAGATTTTTTTTACTTGTATGTTTGTATAATTTACATTTAAGAATTAGTAACTGAACCTTTAGATATTAAATAGTTACTGTTTATTCATTATTAAAAAACATATTTTTATTATTTAAAAAAATCTTTGTCATTGAGAAAATTTTGACTTTTGAGCATCGTAGGTTGGCAGGTATGCCATGTATAGTAGGTAACATTACGTATACAAGAAGCCCCCCCCCCTTTTTTTTTTTTCTGATTCATTTAGGAAAAACCACTTAATAAAAGAGTTTATGTATGCACGGTCTTTGGTTTCATTCATCTTGAGATATATATTAAAATCAGGTTTAAAACAAACTTTTTGAAACTTAAACACTTGTAAAATGATGAAATAAGTTTATAGCAATCACTGTTTAGATTTCCTTTTTATGTGGTTACCAGATAATCAATTTAGTGAAATTTATGCAACTGAGATTTTCTAAAGAAAAGAAAAAAAAAGTCTTATTCCTCAAAAATAGTCCCCCTCCCAATAACAAAAGGCATACTGCTGATGAGGTCAAAAAAATATCATGCAACTTGTTTAATGAAATTAAAGTAGTATTTCTGCATTTCTGGTTGCAGTAATTTAAGTAACTGCATTTATTAAAATTATACATGAATTAAAGTTTCCTGCATTTCTATTAGAAAATACTGTATAAAAATATTTATTTTTTAGAATACAAATCAGCTGTCTCGAGAGTTGGCGAATGTATGCAATTCTATTTTACATTTTGAAGCTCTAAGAACACGGACAAGTGAAGCAGTTTCTTCAGATAACACTTTTTTAGCTCTCATAAACAGGTATGTTCCACTTTTATTATTTAGAAAAGGTTTTCTCTCCCATTAAGTCATGCTATAAGTGACATTTCCTACGAAATCCAAAAGTAGGAATTTGAGGAGGGAAGTATTCAGATATGTGCTGTGATATATCATTTAAATATTTCATGAAAACATCAAATTTTTAGTTTTCAAGTAATGAATAATTTTTTATACAGCTTTTCCATTTAACTTTTAATTAAAGTACTATGAATTTTGCATCTGTTTGGAGGATGTGCATATACTTGAACATATATAATTGCTAATATTTTATCTGACTGTTTATTTCATTAAGATTCATCACATTTCAAGAAAAAATCTTCCTAAAATATTATCTTATTTGTAAATGTTCAATATGTTAGATTTTGTAGCAAATAAATAGTATTTTTGCAAACTTAGTCATACTTCTGGATTACTGTTCACACAAGAGGCTACTTCAATAAAAGAGATGCAGTTCTAATAAAAGTAAAATAATAAATAATATAAATAGTAATAAAAGTAATTATGTGATCTTGCATCATCCATGATTAGTATATTATTTGGGAAATGAAAATTAAATTTCAAGAATTTTGAGAATTTTATTTGGAAATCTGGAATTTAGAAATACAATTTCATTTGGAATTTGGAATATACACTGTGCTTGAAATTTCACTTATGGTAAAAATCTGAAAACAGTATGCAGAAGCTGGCATTCTGTATCTTTTTGTGTTTGCATGCAGAAATATGGAGAGCAAAGTAATTTTTACTCATGCTTAGATGTGTGAGGGATAAGAATAAAATGAATAAAATTGATTTTTTTTTATTAATAAGATTAAACACTAAACTAGCCATTGCAATATTTATTTGTATGTGTTATTTCACATTGATTTGTGAATATAATGTGATATAATACATACAAATAAGTGTAAAATTATCATATTATTATATCATAAATTATTTATCATGTATTTAAGCTGTACACCCCAAATCTTAGAATACTGTTACAAACTAAAGTGAAATTATTTTAATGATAAACATGAGATATGTTTTCTAACTTTCTAATAATTTCCCATTCTTATTGTAGGTCTGAGTAAAAGAAATTAAAATCTAAAAGAGAAAAGATAAAAATTAATAAATCCTTCTAAACTTATCAGTATTTCATATAATTTCAAAAGCAAGGCACAGAAGTATTGATCATGATTTTTGAAATGAATTGAAATGTCATACATTTCTCAGTAGCTAATTTTCTTACATTCTGAAGCTATCTTTCAATAGGGCAATTCTTGCAAGTTGTTATCTGTTATTAATTTATGTATTTTTTTGTTATTTATGTTATGTATTTTGATGTTTTAAATTAGAATTGCATTATTTCCAATTTTTTAGGTTCATCAAAAATATAATTTTAAGATTTTGATGCATATCTCTCTGACAGAGTAATGTGTTTCTGTGAAGATTTGGTTGTATAATTATACAAGTTGCAAGGAATACATAACTGAATGTCATAAAAGAATGATAATGAATATGAAATACAAGCTGTAATGAATGATCTGAAATGCAAGCTTGTTGCACCATTAGTTAATAAGATAAAAGAGAATAAAATGTCATTTCAGTCAACAGTTGGCATTCTCCATCACCACAGGAAACCTATTTTTCATCTCAGAAGGCACATGTAATTGAAAAAATAATGAACATACAACACTAAAATCGGTTTCTGCAATCAAATGTTTTCATGAGGGGTTTCATTTTGGGCCTACAAATGGCTGATTGGTTCTTGTATCATTCCACAGCTGAAATAGTCTACGTCTGTGCTGTTCAAAGGATGGAGAAGAGAGATCGAAGGGAATGGCAAATTATGCAGGGTATACTGATATCAAAATAGATATTGGTATGGTTGGATTCGTGCATCTGAAGGCATGCCATTGCAGTGTTGCCAGATCGTGCGATTTTGCACAAATTTGCAACTTTTGATAAACTTGTGCTACTAAAATTTTAGTATTTGCGATTTTGCGACGTCCATCATTTAAATTGCCATTTTTTGCAACTGAAAATTTTTTTAATATATCGTAAAATGATTTTATTTTAAAATAATTTATTAATTAAATATAGTTTATACTAAAAAATACACTGCTGACCACTGTAGATGCAACACCCTGAAGGAAGCATGCAAATAACATGAACTTTACAACATGCATTAGCGAAGGTGAGATATGCAAATGATTAGAATTTCAGTGCAGGTGCACATCACGCACGCCTATGGCGCCACTTTAAAGCGCTACTTAAGGCTTGGGGTTTTCAACGATTTCAAATCCGTCAATTGTGTTTTTCTTGTTAAAAAAAAAAAAAAAAAATCGATCAATTATGCCTTGTAGTAAACAGCGATCATCGTTTGATCAAGTATTCGAGCTCGACAGAGGAAGGATAGTGGCCTACCGAGGGTGTGGATTATCTTTTAGGAAAATCAGTAATTGTGTTGGGTGAAACCAAACAACTGTAATGCAGATATGTGACCATTGGATGCAGGAGGGTACAACGGACCGACGAGTTCAATCCACCACTTCGCGTGATGACAGGAACATTGTGCGCATGGCAGTGGCGGATCGCTCAGTCACATCACAAACCATAGTGCAGCACATTTAGCCTGTAATGTATCATCCAGTGTCTGCACGTCCATTCGATGCCGTTTACAGCAGAGTGGTTTGTCTGCAAGACGTCCATTGCTTCGTCTACCCTTCACGCAGAACCACAAACATCTCCGCTGCCAATGGTGCGATGAAAGAAGGTTGTGGACGGCAGAAGGGAATGAAATTGTCTTCACTGCTGAGTCACGCTTTTGTCTGCAACACCACGATAGTTGGATTCGAGTCTGGAGACACCGTGGAGAGAGGATGCTGAACAGCTGTGTTATGCATCACATTGGTCCTGCGCCGGGTATTATGGTATAGAGCGGTATTGGATATCACTTTTGCACTACTCTAGTACGCATTAATCATTTGATACTTGGTCAACATGTTATCTACTAAAAATTTTGTTGTGATATCTCTTGTCTTTCTTGGCATTGCAATTTGAGTGGCCAGCAGTGTAGTTTATTTGCTTTTAAATAGGAGTTGACATCTGACAATCTTATTTAGATGTGGGTTTCCTTTTCAAGGCTAAAGACTACGCAGCCTGATGCCACTGTAACGTGAAAAGGGGTTATGGAAGTGAAAAAAGTAAAAAGAAAGAAAGAAAATGCTTTTTGACCTCTCACCACTCTCCCTTGTCTCCCGTGCATTTTGTTTTTAAGTCAGCCCCCTCCACACACACACAATTCTATGGTGATAATGAATCGCACCAAAAAACTTGCAGCTTGCATATCATATATTGGGTACCCAAACAGAGAAATAAATTAAATTCATACTCTTGATTATAATATTGCTAAGAACTAAGCAATGGAAATGACTTGAAAATCAAAGCAACGACATTTTTCTAAATAACAACAAAAATAAATTTAACAGTGAAAGAACAAGGCTTTCTTAAGTAATCAGAATCGGAAACAGATCCACCACACAGAATGGAAAACTCGCTGAAAAGCATTCCTCAATTAAAATGCTCACAATTAAACAAACAAAAAAACCACAAAAAAAAAAAAAAAAAAAAAATGAATTAAAAAAATTAACTGCAAACTAAAAAATTTTAATACAGAAGAGATAACAGTCTAAACGTGAGGAATCTATTAAAATTAGATATCGGCAAATTAATTTAAAAATTTAAACCTAAATTAATTAAAAAAGAAATGGATGTTTAAACAATTGAAAATGAGCAATGTAGTAAAAATTTTTCGTTAAAGCTATGTAATTAAAAAGACTTTAAGAATCGAATGCAGTCTGTAACTTACAGAACAATAGGCAGCAAATTTGTGATGACATCAGAGGTCATGTGAGCCTGCGTAACTATGGCGTCGCAAAAATCACGTGTTCTGACTTCATTTGCGATTTTTTGTAACTTTTTTAGTCTTCTTTTGCTACTTTAGTTGAAAATTTTTTGGCAAGACTGTGCTATGGTAGTTTTAAAAAAGATAACTGTTGACATTATGCAGAATAAACAAAGATTTTCGGATGCTCTAATATCAGCAAGAAGGATTTCTAGATGATTAACCGAAAGCAGCTTGATGTCATGCTGCCCTTCGCAAAACCAGGGGTACCAGTATTCGCAGTGGTGTAATGCCAGAGTTTCTTGAGCAACGAAATAGTGTATTGTATTATATAGTGATGAGTCTTTGTTCTGTTTAACAAATGACAAGACAACATGACCAACGTATTGTCCAAGTCTGCTGTGTAACTGTTAAAAGCCCTGCTGCTCACCAAAACAAATCGTTGTCTGGGGCACCTCTGCCATAGATAGCTAAATCACCTCTGTTTCCACCAGATGCACTATACACATGAATGAAGTACCCTACCTTCTTCAATGGTTCCAAATGCTGTTTTCCAGTGAGATAAAATATTTTGCACACAACAATCGGTAGACAATCCCTGCAACGTAATCAAAAAGATTGCTTGGCCATCAAGATTCCCAAATTGTGCATTCATCAGTCATTTGTGAGATGTGATTGGTCGTCATTTACTTGACCTGCCTCAGTTGAAAGATGAATGAAAACATAGGATCATTCAACCCTGCAGAAGTTATTTGCATGCTGATTTTGTCCGTACCTAAGAGGGTTGCTTCTTGTATGGGTGCAATAGATAGTCCTTCTTCTTACTGATCATTGTGTTAATCTTTGCAGTTAAAATCATATATTTATGTATGTCTTTCAATTTTCATCACATTCCACTTGCATAGCATTGAAATTTTCTCTTCCTAGGTGGTGTCGGCAGAAATATGTTGAATAAATGAGAATGTCTTGTATTTTAAAAACAGTCTTATCGTATGCATAATATAATCATTTTCGAATATGTCTTGAAAATTAACAATGCTTGCCATTTGTTTTCAGAAGTGTCAGAAAGTAGAATTGTGGTTGTTATCAAAGGTGACAGAGGTGCCTTCTTCCTTTGTGTAGTTTAATGAAAAATGTAATCAGAGTATTTAGACATGAGGTTAGTCTAATTCAGCAACATATAATTTCAAACGAAATTTCTTTCAAAAACAGGGTGTAAAGTTGAATGCCAAGTAAAAACTACTTAAATATCAAGTTCTTTTTTCTTTCTCTGTGACGGCCTCTTTTAAGACAAGCTTTTTGTGTAATAATTATACATTGAAATATAATGAAAAACTCTCAGTGTGCAATCTTAAGCCCTTTTATTATAATTTAAGATGTAATTTACAAATGCTAATTTTATTTTGATTCAATATTACAATGCTGAATTTAAGCAAAATTCATTCTTTGAATATGATTTTCTTAAGATAATAATTGAAAGTTTAACTTTCAATTATTAACTAAGTCTAGTACTAGATGAATAAAATTTGACTGAAGTGAAAGAGTCTGTTCAAAGGGAGTTCTGTACAATATATTGGATATATTCAGAAATGATTGTTGAACAGTGCAACCTCATCATCTGCATATGAAGTATTTTTAGCTTTATTTTATTCTCATTTGATTTTTGTTTTCTCAATAGATGTAAAGAAACTTGTGAATTAGCGGAAAGCTGCCAAAGTCAAATAAATACTCTTGAAGAACATCTTATTTCATTAATGGTAAGACTTCATGTTGTAAATATTAATGTTATAGCCCTCCAACCAGTCATATGCATGCATTTGAAAATGCATACTGGGTAGACAGCATATATGTATAGACAGCATATACCTCCAAAAGTTTTTCTCCTTGCACTGGCAAGGCTGCATATATATGGAAATCTCTGTCTTGGCACAAAATAGCAAAGCGGTGTATATGTGGAATGTTTCACAGCTCATTTGTGTGACTATATTTTCAGATATTTTCATTATAGTATCATAAAGGTAATTTAATATAATTAAAAGTACCTAGAAATCATTGGACATCTTTTTAGTTAAACTTTCATACATTGATATTTTATGCATGTTTTTTGATAATTTTGCATTAGATTTGACAGAAGTGGAATTAGTTTATTTATTTATTCCTTTTTGTCATTCTGTGGTTTATTTAAGATTCAGCTGCTGTGCATTTAACATATTTTTTTTTTATTTTTAATCTGAGAATCTTTAATTCTATTCAAAATTAATGTGTGCAGAAATGAGTATTTTTAAAGCCATGTCAAAGTTTTAATTACACAGAAAATCTGGATAAATAACTATTAACATAATTAAATACATATAATTAACCTCTACTCATTTCTCTGGGGGGATTATACAGAAATTATATTTATTTAATTGAACTGATATATTACTGTTTCTGTTTCTATCAGCCATTGGAAAAAGATGGAGTTACAACTGAGTGGCTGACGTCTGTAATTAAAAAAGTATCATTGTCTTTAAGCTCTTGCAGAGAAAAACTGGAGCACCAAAAGTCTCTCACTTGTATTTGTTGGGTATGTGATTTACAGTATTAATTTCTATTGTGACTATACTTTAATTAAAAGCATTCTAATTTGACATGGTAACTTTACAGGAATCCTTACATCAAGAAGTTGTTCATGTTCATGATTTATTCTCAGTGCATCACAAGTTAATGTCTGAAGTGAGACATATCCTTAGGAATCTAGCCAAAGTAAGTATTCTTAAAATTAGTAAAAAAGCAACTTAAATTAGCCTAGATTTTGAATAAAACTCTTATAGCAGTTTCGAGAATAATAAGACTTAAATCCTTAGGAATCTAGCCAAAATAAGTATTCTTAAAATTAGGAAAAAAGCAATTTAAATTGGCCTAGATTTTGAATAAAACTATTAGCAATTTCGAGAATAATAAGACACAAGTTCCTCTTCTTCAGAAATAGAGGATATGCTAAAAAAGGAGGAAACTGATCATCCTCAAAAGAAATTTTACTTAATATCTGTGTCCTTCTGAGATTACTTTTTGGCTTATTTAATTTTTGGGGATGTTTCTTTTTTATATAGGTTTAAGTTTTCTACCTACCCCTTCCTATTTGTTTCTGCATAGCAGATGTTTTTAAAAATTTTAATAACATGTCAGTGTAAAAAGTTTTGTTTTCAAAAATGTCTTGCATAATTTTGGTGTGTTTGGATTACTGATTTTTGTATATTAAATCATGATTAATAAAGCATTCAGATGCTTTTTAAATGTTAAATAATGAAGTTTTCTACCTTACAGTATTTTGTAGCATTTACTTAAGACTCAGAATTCACCATTAGAACTCTGCATAAATAAAAGTATGGGGAGAAAGTTGAATGAAAAAAAAAATTAGTTCCTTAATCACACCAGTAGGAGAATAAATTGCTCTAAGCTGAAAAGAATAATCTTACAATTTATGTAAGAATGATTACAACAGACTTCGCCAAAATTCTGTGTGTTTCAGAAGTGTATGGAACAGGTAATTCATTTGAAAACAGTGTTTTAGCAATATGAACAAATAATTAGTTGTGTTTTTAAAGTGTTGGTATGGTTTTGTCTGGTAGTAATTTTCAGTGAATAAGAAAGAATTCGTTTGTTCCTTGATGTTTCTTTGACAGAACGTAAGTACATCTTAAGACTAGGACTCCTTTTGTGCAAAATAAAGTGCCTTTTCATAATATATGGTTAGTGTAGGGGTATTATAAGAGAGTATTCACATGATGATTTAGTAGTTGTTAATATTACAGTCCTAAGGCATTAGCTCTGCTCGTGCCTGCGGAATAGGAATTAAGCCTAGGTAAAGTAAGGCTTCATGTGGATGAATGTTCAGCTGATCCAGCCAAATCATTTACCAGATGTCAGTTCGTATTTGCTTTATTGTAACTGATAATTTCTTATGCCAGATTACCATAAAGCTAAACAATTAGAATATTTGGACAAAATCCTTATACCAATATCTGTGACACAGCAAAGTCTGTTTACTTAGTAATGAAGCTTGACTTATACCACTTCTAACAAAGTCTTCATGTGAAACTCAATAAAAGCACTTTAATAAGACTGATTAACCATCATTTCAACTTTTGTGATTACCTTGCTTGTCTGAGATAATTCCATACAGTTTTTGTATGTGGATTAAATTTTAAATTTATATTAGCTTTATACGAATAGAGAATATTTGTTAAATTTAAAAGCAGATATATATTGTGCAGTGTTTCTAGTCTTGGAGCTTTAAAAGACACTCTTAACACAAAGAATATTCCTATTTAATATACCATGCACTGAAGGAAATTTTTGTCCAAAAAATATAGTCTCCACACTGCGCAATATTCACTTTAATAACAGCTGTAAAAACAATGTCAATAGACTGCAAACATTGATTATTATGCAAAAACTTGAAAACTGCATGGAATTTGAAACATGTATGGAGCCATGAAGAAAAAGACTATATTTGCTCAAGAAACAATGATTTTTGGGGGGGGGGGGGTCAGTGGCTGGCTCCACGTTGCTGGTGTGACATTGTTAGCACTGTCTGAAATCAATCTGTCAATATTAAAATACTCTGTATGTAGCCTAGACTATAACTGGTGGTTCTAAAAAAATTTAGTGATCTATAAAAAGGTTGTACGAGTAAAAATATTGGTCCATTTTGCACAGGTACACTTCTTGTGGTGAAGTAAATTTTGCTATGTACAAGTGTGACTGTGACCCCAAAGTTGTCAGTTGTATATGTAATTTGCCATAGTCAGCCGATCAGAACGTCACTGGTGCACAATGATGGGAACTGTTACATTATAGATTTGTATATTAAGTACCTGATTTTTACACTTTTTAATAATCATTTAAAAATGAATACTCCAAAAAAATAAATAAAAAACTATTAGTATTGCATACTTTTTTTCGAAAACCAGATACAAGTAATTTGAATGGTAAATATTACATATTCACATTGTGTTCCAGATCAAACAAAATGGGAAATTTACTGTTATTCATCAACTGAATCCTGACTGTTTTAAAATTCTGCTTTTCATTCTGCTTTTTAGCCTGAGTCAAATAAAATTACCTGAATGCATTATTTGCAGAGAAGTTTTATCCAGTGAATGTATGAAGTCAACAAAATCAATGTATTATTTACAAACCAAATATCCATAGAATAAGTCACTGGACTTTTCAGATGTAAAGATGCTAAATTGGGAACAAAAACTGTTTAAAAAAAAGTGTTTTTAGTCCACATATATACATCATATTTAGTTACATATTTCAGTGTTCAGTTCTTCAGAATATGACATGAAACTTTTCTAAATATATCATGATGATGTTGCGTGTAATTATAAATGTGTATTTTAGGGAAATATAGATTTTGAGGAAAAGGTCTGAACATTAACTGTGTGCTAAGTAATGTAGTGTGTAAAATTGTTAATGGACAATAAAACTAAAAAAAAGAATGAAAAGAAATTTAATAGTTTGCATTTATTAATTACACTGAATAACATCTGTAATTAACTCTTACTGTTATATATTTATTAATAGTTATTCATCTGTTTTGTTTGATCTTTATAAATCCCCCCCCCACTCGTGTTGTTGTGCAGCCACTTTTTGTACTTTTTTGTGAAGTGATTCATTTATTTTATCGGGAGAGATATAGGGAACCAAATTTTTCTCTCATTATTGTGTGTTATAATGGGGTTTGATTATATTTTATGATAAAAAGCTTCCTTTTTTTTAAATAAGCTTATATCTGACTCATGGTGTTTGCTATTTAAGAATCTGTAATTGAGACTAAAAAGAACAAAATAATATAAATAATAATTTTTATAAAATAAGCTTTTATTTAAAAATTATAAAATAATTAACAAACTAAAAGGAGAAAAATAATTTGTCGTATTGTTTAATGGGAACAGAAGATTAAATAATTCTCTCTGCAAAACTGAACCACAGTTTTATGTCACTAATAGGAATGTGGGCTATTAAATAAGGAAATCTAATAATTGAATTGCATTTTCAAAAAATTAAGTCGTTACCTTTATAAATAAATCAAGAGCATTCCACATTTTAATTGTTCATACTATAAATTTAAATGTCTTTTTACAAAATTCACCTGTAATCTCTTGTTCCCTTTATACTATATGATAAATTATTTTATGAGTTTCAAATAAAAGCTTATTCTCTGAAAACTATTTGTATTTTTTGTTTGTATTTTAATTTTTATTTAATTCTTCATTAGTTAATTGAGAAATATTGGCTTATCCTTAATGACTCTGTGCATTTTCCACTTCAAGTTGTGTAAATATAATTAATACATTGTGTCTTTAATAATGTGAAATATTTTTTATTGTATGATGTTCCATAGCTGATGGGCATATAGCATGCAAGTCAGTTATGAATAATAAATTTCCAGTGATTATATATATTAAAAGAAATGATGCTATGGGTTTCCTTCTATTCCTGAAATAGCATGAAGAACAAGAACTTGGTGTTGATTTTAAATGTGAGGGAAGAGTGCATCGTTACATGGCATTTTATAAAGAATTTTCTGAACGTACTTCATCTATTGTGAGCAAACTTCTTGCAGAATCTCAAGATATGGATCTGAGTAGCTTAGTGGCTGTTGAAGAGGAAATACCAGCACTTTGTGTTAGTGCTGCAGAAATATACAATCAACTTATAGATTTAGCTGGCCCTTTAGGAAACAGACAACGAGGACTTACAGAAAGTGAGAGTTCTAGTAAGTAAAAATCACTTAAATGATGCTTTGGTTTAGTACATGAAATGAAGATATATGAAGACAGTTTTATTTATTAATGTAATGTTAAGATCACTTCATGATTAATTTAAATTGTTACCAGTGCTTATTTCTACTTTCTAAGCTTACCTAATCACTATATCTTATCTCGTTCATTTGCGCTTTGGCAGCTGAGGATAATGGTTCAGTTAAACCATCAAAACTAGTCCTGTGAAAATCTGAAAATATAATGCTAATTTTTGTGGTTTGACTTCTAAATTAACACTTATTTCTAGTTCATTAAGTTAATACCTTCAAGCCCTATAGTTGTAAAGTTATAACTTTGCTATTAAACTATTCATACAAAACTACTTATCACCCCGAGTTATTCCTTTGAGGTTGGAGAATTATTGCCCTGAAGTATTTATCAGCTTCACACATAAACAGATTAAAAAAGACTTTATTTACCACTCTTAAGGGTTACTAAAATTAAAAATATACAGTGCAAGTATAGTGTGCTTGCTTTTGGCAGTACATATATTAAAACTGGAACGATATAGAGAAGATTAGCATGGCTCTTGTGCAAGGATGATAATTCAAGTATAGTTGAACACCCATCATCAGTACATTAGCAAAGCAAATTATGCAATAGGTTTTTAGCACTGCACATGCTTATTTCTATCTTCTATTAACTAAACATTACCAAGACACACTGCTAGTAGAAATATTATTGTCTTAGGTTGACATCAAACTGCATTCAGCTAATTTCAAAACAGTAAACAGTACACTAGCATTTACTTTAATAGGCATGTGTTGCAGTTAACTTGTCTAAGTTTGTTGTTTGCTCATAACCTTCTAATATGAGTGAATATTTGATGTAAACCAGCGAGAAGATAGGACAGAGTTTAACTTAAGTTTTGAGACAATGTATAACTTAGTTTCTGAGGAAAACTTTAAAATGATTCTAACAAAGTATGTTGGAGAGACAGTAGATATCAGTAGTAGTCTTCAAGGTTCAGAAACAGGATGATTGCATTAAATTATTGCATATATAATCTAAACTTAAGGCAGATTTCCTTAGGAAGTACTATACAAATTTTTCCCTTCCTTTTACATAACCCTCAAATAATTTGCCATGATTAAAAAATTTCGCTCTTTTGCCAGAATTGCATAAGATAACTAGAGGTTCTTTCTTTACACCTCTCAGAATCAATAGTTATACATGGGGCGATGAATCATCCAGTCGTAACTGAAGACGTCATGACATAATTTATGATAAAATAAAGCCCTTTTTTTACTGTTAATTGAAACTAGTACTATGAAAATTTAGCTGGAGCATCCAAGCATTTAAAAATGTAATAGTATAATAAAAAAAAGCATTAAATTTATACAAAACTGTACCGGAATAATCCTAACCATTGTTTTAAAATGGTCCAATAAAGGCCATACATAAGACATGATTTCAGCATTATGCTATTAGGTTTTAGTTATTAAGAGATAGGATGGATAGCTCATCTATTCATATTATCCTCAATTTGAGTACTGATCAAATATGTCTTTAATCATTTGCCTATTGTAAATATAAGATTTGATTCTAAATTTCATACTTTATTTTTTTAACAGAACAAAAAAATCAGATGAAGAAAAGTTTGCTATCACCTATGTGTGAGGTGGTTTGTTTACATTCTCCAGGTATGCGCCCGAAAACTCCCGTGAGAAGTGGCACCCCCAAGAAGTCAGCAGTAATGCGAGATCCTCATACTGGAAAAGGTAATGCAGATAATATGCCGTCTAAACTGTGCAAGCAAGTTATTTCAAAATCTATTATAAAATTATAATATTCTGTATTAATACTTTTAGCTGTTCAAGAGCGCAACACATATGCAACTAATGTGTGGAAACGCATAAAAATGAAATTAGATGGAAGAGATCCTGAACCAAATAAAAAGTCCAGCATTTCTGAACAGGTAATTAAAGAATTAAAAAAAATTGTATAATACACATGAACCAAAACTACATATTATTTCTAAGATGATATTAGGATTTCCATATAAAACAGGCCTCAAATTATCTCTTAATTTGGGCCTACGTGCTTGCAACATATATTAGTAACTTTTATTATTCTTAAAATTTTGTAATAAAAATGTTATAGGTTGTTCACAAAATCCAGAATTTACAAATTTTGCCTTAATTTAGTAAAATTCCCCAAATTTATGCAATTTTTTCTGCAGTTTTTGTCTAAATCCTTCCAATCCTAAAATATAAGAGGCAAGTTCAGTCAAATATAAGGCCTGGTTTATTAGCCCTCATACCCATGTTTTCAGAAGCCGTTACTAGCATCAATATACATAATGGAATTTTGTCATGGTGTAGACTGCAATTTCAGAGTCCACTGTGTTCTATAAACCGCACAATATATCCTAGCAAAAACTTACCTGAATTTCATATTTGAGCAGACCTACTTGGCTAATTCTAAATTCTGTGCTAATAATCTTGTTAATTTTGATACTGTATGAGATACCCAGGAATAAACATTTCTGACTCATGGATCTTCTCAAATTCAGTAACATGAGCCATCACCACCGGAATAACAAGGCCTCGACACTGCGATCGTGACGTCACTAGTAGCGGGTAAAGGAATAAACGGGCTCTCAGCTTCTAGGCAGCGCAAATTTTCTTCAAAAATTAGAAATTTCATTTTTTATTCTCCAAAATAAAAAATAATTTGAATAAATAAAATACTTTAAAAAAATTAAATTCAGTGAATTTTCGCTGTATGCATGAATTTTTCAAGGGCATTTAAAGGACTGACACATTATGGTTTCCATATATTTCTTCGTCATGTCAGCCAACAAATTCGTTATGTTTTTACTCTATGAACGGCAATATGTACATTATTTTCCCCTTGAATGACAAGAACATCTGCTTTCAACTTTGTTTGTATTAGTGTACTAACTAAGTTCGTTTGCTGTATGTTTAAAATCTAAGGTTAAATCAAAATATGCATGTATATGAAACAAACTCATCTCCTCGACATAATCATAACAAGAAAAAACTGCAAGCAACAGATCATTTAAAGAAAGTTTTACATTATGGTGGTGATGACATAGAAAGCTCAGATATTTAATTAGCTATATTTTTACTGACTAAAATTTCAGGATTTTCTTATATGAAATATTATACAGAATAATGAAAATATATTTTATCAATTTAATTATAACATTTTTCTTAAATATTGAAACATATTCAAAATGATGCCGTAATGAAAATTAGAAGCTGTATAAAATTTAATAAATATAAGTTTTGATGTATATTTGCACTTACTTAATATTTTATTGACATTGCTATATAAAATAACTAAAGTAACAAGTTAGGCAGTAATGTGAAATTTAAGCAAAAATAGGTTAGCAATATAATTGTAAGTGATGTATTTTGAATAATGTTTGTGTACAGCATTTGATACTTTTGAAACCAATTTTAAAAAACTAAATTCAGCAAAACCTAATAAATGAAGTAGTGGTTTATTATAATGCATGAGGATGCCTAAATTCATTTCTAGCATATAAGCTACATGAAATTAACAATATTTGAAATAATAATAGAAGGTGATGCATCTTGTATTATGTTTTGCATAGCATACCATATAAAATTAATTATATTTAATTCAGAAAGAATCTAATAGTGCATAGCTTGATACATAAATATTTTAAAAACAATGCATACAATTTCCTTTAATCATTAATTATACAAAATGATATAAATTTTCAGCAAATTGAACAGGAATTTTCACATGGGATGAAATTTAGGAATTCGGAAATAACACTCTTATTTCTCACCAAACAATAATCGTATACATTAATACACAGCAAATGAATTCATAACTGATATTCGCAGTAGTATATGCTCTTTTAAAAAAAGCCATTAACAAAGAAAATAGGTTTTAATGGAAAATAAGACTCGCAGTTTGCAGTTTTCGCTTTTTGGTTACTGGCATGTGATAATTTTTTTAGTACAATAATTTTTTACAAAACAATTATCACAAGTTTCATCGACTAAGAAAAAATCATATTCATCAATAAGAGTAGACGATAAATCTATAACAATATTTCTTCGATTATTTTGCTTCAAAAACTTTTTTCATTTTCTTTACTTAATAATTTTTGACTTTTTTGCTTAATAATTTTGCTTTTTTTAGACAGATATTTTTGTATTATGACATAATTATAAGTTACTGCAGTTACAACATCTGTTGAGGGAAAGAGTAATTCATTTCTGTCTAAATTTCATATAAAATTATAATTTGCACTTAATTTTAGATTTTTGTCAAGGACAATTAATTTAAAGCAGGAATTGCATTTGAGTGTTTTTACAGCCATATATGAGCAATAACCAAATATATAAGTTAAGACTGGTAACACATTTTGAATATTTTGAAAATCAATTTCAGAAATATTAATATTGAACTCTGAGCATAAGTCTAAAGCATTTGGGGTATCATCTGTAACATAGTCTTCTTCAGTACAGTCAATTAAAATGCCCCCACATGATACTGATCTCAAAGATAAAGGTTGAAAATTTTGCATTCTTAATTTTGATTCATTTTAAAAAATTTGTCATACTGATATTAGGTATTCAGATCCAGCAAGCATCAGATATTTACTAAATCGTTCTTCTAATGCATCTGTCTGTATCTTTCCCACAAGGAAATATTTAAATCCTAACTCATGAAAACAATACTTAGATAATTCTAATAATGCATGTGTGGTGGGAGAAACAACTAAATATGTTTCTTTAGCAAAGGTCCCGAGCTGGAAGTGTTAGCTTTCCAAACATCTAACCATAACAGAAATATTTTTAAAACTTCATTCAAAGAATTATTAGGCAATATTGGCATTTGCAATGAATCCTTTAGCATCTGACCTTTCAAAGGTGTTTTAACATTGACAATATTCCATCAGTTATAAATTAGTTTTATGAAACTGGCAGTAATAGCATAATTTGAAATATTCTCCTTGCCAACGGTAGAAAGAGCAACAATAACATAATTGTTAAAAATACTGTTAACAAGTTTGACATTTTGTCTCTCCATGTTTGATGGATTGTGATTTTAAGGATAATCCATATGCATATTTTCTAAAGAATTTGACTCAATTTCATAAAGGTGTTTTAGTGATTTAAATGAGGCAGTGGATAATGGTAATTTCTCAAAATTGTCAAAATCAAGATAATAAAATGCTTGTTCATAATTTTTTAATTCATCCAGTTATTTCTTATACTTTTAAAGATATGAACAGAATTGATTATAAAAAAAGGGATCACTTTTATTGCATGTGTTCTGATAAACAATACTTAACTGGGGTGGGGAAGGGGAAAAAAAACATTGCTTTTCTGTTTATAGCATTATTATCACTGACAACACACACAACTTTAAAGCCTAAACTATGTAAACCAATTATTGTTTTCCTTTAAAACTGAAAAAAGGTCTTCAGCTTGGTTTTTTTAATGGGCAGTATATGTAGAACTTCTTTAAATGATAATAAACTTTGTATCGTGAATATATATTGTGTATTTGCAACACTATCACTGTTATATGCTATACCAACAGCATTTTCTCTCTTATAGTCTATGTATGGTTTTATGTGTATTTAATCACACATTAATGTAATTATCAGGTCTTCTGAATTTAAGCCATCTGCTTTTTGTTTTATGAAAGATAAGAAGTTTTCATCAGACTGCTCTTTAACGGGATTAGTATTAAATCCAGAAAATATTCTGTAAATTGTTCTTGGATGTGGCATAATGATATTGCATGAACTTCTAAAAAATTTATACACATGGGGAGAAATGGAATATAAAATAACGAAGAAAACATACATATGTGATGAATAATGCGTTCCTTTTTAGAAATAAGCTTGGACAGTTGTTCTATAATGAATTCCATAGTTTGCTGTTTATCACTATCATCATTCTTAACAATTTGCAATAGAGTAATAGCTGTTTTTATAACATTGGAAAATAAATTTTCATTTTGTGGTTTAGAAATATTCAATACAAAGTCTAAAACTTCAAAAAAACTATTTATATTATTTATTACATTAAGAAACGCTTCTTTATCTATTATTTTTAATTCTGATTTACCAATAAAAACATGACACAATTAATTTTCTGCCACTACTACTGAAGCTTCAATAATCGGTACAGACTCAGTATCAATAATAAGAAAAACAACTTTACCTTCTTTGAAAATAACTGTCCAAGCATCAGGAACATTCGCAGATTTTATGCACGATAAAAATTCAGAAAACGAGTAAAAAAATTTTTTCCTGTAGTAATTTTCCTTTTTAGTTAGGCTTGCAGCAAGTGCAATCTGTGTATTGTTTCTATCAATTCGAACTCTTCTATTATCGGCACTTTCTCTTGAAGTTGAAGATTTACCTGATAAATATTTTGGACAGCCAGGCAGTTGTGAAGGTACAGCATCCTTTCGAAGCCTTGGACAAATCAAATTAATTTTTATTGAAGTTCCTTTTTTCTCATCAAAATGTTCGACTGCTCTTTCAGTATCTGCTTCGAAAAAATGTTTTTCACAAAACTAAAAAGGATGTAAAATTCAGTATTGAGTATCACTGTAGATTCATAAGAAAAATCTTACAAATAATTTAAATGTAAAATGAAAATACAGATTTCCATGCAATATGTTAGATTTCCATTCAGAAATAAATTTTGGAACCTGTAAAATACTAGGTAGAATTCAGCTACCTAGTACTTCAACACATATTCTACACATTATGTACTGGAAACAACACAGACATTATAACATCATTCCAGTACATACACTAAAATTCAGCTGATATTCTAGAAAGTTTCATGAAATTTTTGCTTACCTAATATATTTAATTAATATATAATTACCTAATATGTTTAATATATATTAATTATGACATAATTACCTAATCTATTTAATTAA